AACAGTGCTCTGGGAGTTTAAAGGAGAGATACTATGTCTGCACTTAGTCACAGGCATTTTGGCCAGGCCAGTTCAGTATCAGTGACCTCCTCAGTCATGGGTAAACTCCTCTCAAGTGAATGCACATTTGATGTTTCCTTTGGAGACCTAAGGAATAACATAACACAATGTTGGACTTCCCAGAGAAAAGCCTTTGTCACCCACCAGGGTACTTTCAATTCCTTTCTCTGCCTTTCAGTCCAAAAACTGATAGCAGACAGTATTTGCAGCCAGCATCATGAATGTATCCTGAACAGAACAAATGAATAGCTGTGAAATGGCATTTCTCCAAAGGAAATTGAGCTCACACAGCTTTTAGTACAGCTTCTGCAGGCTGTCACTCAGGACTTTCTGCTCAGTGCAGTCTCCTCTCATTACTGGGACAGTCTGTGAAAGGAATGATGAAAGTCAAGATACTGTGGTGGTTTTTTTTGTGTGTGTACCTTGCCAAAGAGGTCACTTTGCCTTCCAGTGAGGATGCAACAGCCTTGATCTTAACTTTGTTGTTTGTGCACCAATGGGCAGCTCAGCATCACAATGCTGCTCTCTCAGTCACTCTCCTCAGAAGTACAAAGAGAGAAAATACAATGAGAAAAAGCTCGTGGTTTGAGGTAAAGACAGGGAGATCACTCACCAGTTACTGTCATAGGCAAAACAGACTCAGCATAGGGAGATTAATGTAATTTGCTGCCTGTTGCTGGCAGACTACAGCAGTGAGAAACTAAAAGCAAACTGAAAACACCTTCCTCCCTTCCACCCTCTTCCACCTCCTCCCCCTAAGCAGCACTGGGGAACGGGAAATGGGGGTTCTTATGTCACTACCTAATGCCTTGCCTCCACCACTCCTTCACAGTCACTCTCTGCCCCTGCTCCACATGGGGTTTCTCCCACGGGATGCCGTCCTTCCCAAATTGATCCTGCGGGGGCTGCCCACAGACAGCAGCTCTTCAAGAACTGCTCCCACATGGCTCGGTAGCACGGGGTCCATCTGTCAGGGGCAAACTGCCCCCACATGTAGGCTGCAGCTCCCCCCAGATCCCCTGCTCCTGTGTGGGCTCTTCTCCACAGGCTGCAGCTCCTGCCTGAGGCCTGCTCCTGTGGGGGCTCTCCATGGGCCACAGCCTCCTCCAAGCCACATCCACCTGCTCCATCGGGGGCTCCTCCATGGGCAGCAGCGTGGAGACCTTTTCCATGTGGGACCCATGGGCTGCAGGGGGACAGCCTGCTCCACCAGGGGCCTCTCCACAGGCCGCAGGGGAATTTCTGCTGCATGCCTGGAGCACCTCCTGCCCTCCTGCTGCACTGACCTTGGGATCTGCAGGGCTGGTTCTCACTTCTCATTCTCCCAGCTCCTGTTGTGCAGCATTTTTCTTTCCCTTTCTTCAATCTGCTCTCCCAGAGGTATAAACAACATTGTTTATTGGCTCATCTCTGGCCAGCAGTGGGTCGCTTTGGAACCGTCTGAAGCTGGCTCTGATCTGACGTGGGGCAGCTGCTGGGCTCTGCACACAGAGGCCACCCCTGCAGCTCTCCTCACCCACCCTGCTACCCAAATCTTGCCACATAAACTAATACATTAGGTAAATAATTAGTTCTAAAAAATTGCAGTGAATAATACTGGAGTTCCTGTTGCAGTCACAGACTGTGACCCCACCCTGACATTACCATCATCTTGTCCCTTGGACAAGTTATCTTAAAATAACAAATTTGTCAGAAGTAATTCTGACTTTACTGGTTCTCCAAAAGTGTTACATTCTCAAGTCAATTTCTTGTGGTTCAGAGTTCAGGTCAGGTTCAAACTGCATAGCCAAGGAGTTGGATGTTACCTGAATTTTCCATCATCTGAGTACTCTGCACTTTTCATGAAAATGAGCCTTCTAGTGAATTAGTATTAGGATTGCTTTAATCACTGCTCATTAAAAAATTCAGGGTTTTTAGTCAGACTCATTTACAGCTTATATTGAACTAATATCCTTACAATTTTCCATTATGAGAAGATTAGAAAATGTGTTCTTCCATCTTTACAGAGCAGAATCACCATCATATCTGAGATGACCAAGAATCTATTTGCAAGCAATTTTATTTGCATTCAGTAACTGTCAGACATAAAATCATGATATAAATAATATTACTATAACAGACTCATCTGTTAACTACTTGTGACACTTTAGTGAGAAATCATCCAAGAACTTGTACTGTGACTAAAATTTATCTGTCTAAATTAATGTAATGTGAGTAGTTAGATTTTGGGGGTAATAGAGAAAAAACTAATTTTGCCATTGAAATAGGTCATCACACACCCAAAGAAAAGAAAAAGCAAGTGAAACCTGCAAAGTCATGTGTAACTATGACATGTGAGATGAAATGTCTTATTTGCATGACATTAAAATTGCAAATCATAAAAAGTGATTGAGCCACTGGTTGACAGTTCAGGTGTTTGATTTATCTGTTATTCAAAGTACTTTTTTTCAGAAGTTAGTATGTTTTTGGAGTAATTTCAGATATTGAAACATTTCATTCTGACTTGTTGCCACAATATCTGTCCGTTGTTTATGAACTTCCTTTTCCTCCTTTATACCACAACGGTCTGTTTCCCTCCATCAATGTGAGTACCCAGCACCAATGTGCTTTCAGCATCATTGCATGATAATCACGGAGATATAGAAAATATTTGTCTATTTCTATACTTGGTGGTGAGATCCTCAAATCCTTTTGTTACTTTCTATTTCCAAAATTGTGGTTTATCAAGGGGCAGATGTTCATAAATAATTATTGGCAATCAGACAAGTTTCAAGAAAATAAACTTTCTAATATCAACCAGGCCTTTAAACAGCTGGGAACCTGTTCCCCTACTTAGGCTACTATTGCAACCAGGGAGAGGTCCCTTCCCTTGTGCATTCCACCCCTACATAAATACTGCATGTCAGCAAAAGCACCATACATATCGAACGTTTATGCTGCATCCACCACACACATACACACACAAAAGCCACAAAGTTTATATGTACATAATAAAAAACAGGGACTCCATCTTTCCGAGTGTTTAGGGAAGGATCTTCCCTGCATCGCAGTACTGTTATATTCATGGTACAAAGTGTTAACCTGTAAGCTTGCTCAACAGTGGGAACTCACTAGAAAAAGCTTTGAACAGGTAGAAAGGATGATCAGTTCTTCTTGTGCAGGCTTCCCAGCTGAGCTTCAAAGGGTTGGTCAGAGACTGAACAACATTATCATTCAAAAAGTCTAGCTTCAGGTGAGGACAGCAGGACATGAGGGAGCAAAGGTGGCAGTCACTTCTCTGCATGCCTTGCAAGGATTGTGATCCCTGAATTTGCAACTGGAAGTAGCTGTAAATAGCTCTCCTCTGCAATCTCTCAGCTATGATTATAATGAGCAATCAGAGTGGCTGAAGTGTTGCATTGCTTTCTAGATGAAGCACTTGTAATGCTACATTGAGCTCATTTGAATACTAATTAGTAACAGCATCTTAAACAAAATGTGCAGCATAGTGAGAAACATTATTAGAAATTAGTTCCATATTTGACACTGCCTAAATGTACGTACATCTATGCTATAGGTATTCTTTAATAAAATATATATATATATATATATATACACATAATACATCAGCAAGCAATTACAAAGATTGTAGGACAAAACAGCTTAGAGTTGGAAGTGATTTTATTCTTCAAGTGTACAACACATTACACCCAGCTAGATGCATCCATATTTCCAAATGAGACAGAATAACAGTGTCATAATCCTGTTTGCTGTTTCATTTCTTTTCTTTTCTTAAACTACCTAGTAGAGGATGTCTTTTTAATTGCTATTTGTCATTGAACCAATTCTTTCTGGAAAACAGTCTGTAATTTCTCCAAGATCTTTCTCTAGAAATAACATATCTAAAGTCTTTTATAAAGTGCACAGCTAGAGCTGTTTCTTAGCACTAGCGAATTTTTATTACTGTTCAACTCATTTTCTAGATTACTTATGAATAGTTTAACAGAACATGTCCCAGAATGGTTCTTGTGGGACTCATCTAACAACTTCCCTAAAATGAACACCTATCTCCTAACTTTCATACTGCGTAACTTGATGAGCGCTCCAACTGCTGTCTCATTAACGTAAAGGGCAGCAGCACCACTACTTTATTCAGTTGGAGTGTATTCAGGGCATCCATCTCATTCAGCCCCTCACTGGTTTATGAATCCCAAAGAAGCTTAAGCATGAAATAAGTATGAGATTTCCTTCACCCTAATGAGACGCTGCTGGTTAGATACTTCTGTATCTGAGGAATATTGCTGTTGACAACACTGGCATCTATAGATCTCAGGGCTAAGAAGCAACTGAAGAGGAATTCAGATGGCCAAAATCTGAGGTTTAGGATCAAAATCATGCCTAAATCCTGGGCTTTTAAATTCTTTTGTAGCTGTAAGCTGAGTGGGTAGGTTATGCAGTTAGGTCAGGACAGGCTTGGAATATCTATTTATATAGGCACTGACAATATCACCAAAGTAATGCCTTTGTGCTTCAGTGGATTTATTCTGTTATCCTATATTTCAGAAAGCATCCTTCATCAGATATGTGGTTAAGCAGGTAGTTTACCTTTAGGTGTGTAATTAATTCTTTCATCATCTATTGACTTGAAATATATGAACAAATGAATTCCCCAAGAGAAATTTAAGTTTCCTTCACAGTCATAGGTAAGAGCACACAGTAGCTCTCTTCTAATTAGCCCCTTGGAAATATAGTAAAAGTTTTTAATTTTGGTTTTACATAAAATAGGTTAGGCATAGATTTTTCCCAGCAGGACTTTCTATATGATAGGAATATACTTTCTACTATTTCCTTCATGTGACCAAAAAGAAGCTCTTCGTAAAGCACTTGATTACTATAGAGCTGGAGTTGTATTTCAGTTTGGCAATATAATATAATGTGTTGCAAGAGACTTAACTGAGAACTTTGACAACTTCAAAACATTTATTTTCACTTAGATTCCCATACTTAAAGACAGAATGTTTTTTGCAAATGTAAAGATATAAATATTTTGTCTATATATTCCCTTAAGTAAAAAATAATAACAATAATAAAATAAAAATAAAAAAAGCATTCTAATAGGACCAATAGAAATTATAATAAATAACAACAAAACAAAACAAAACAAAAAAAAAGATAAAAAGAGAGGATATAGATATTTAATTTAAATTATCCTGTTTGAATATTTGAAATGGCAATATATTTTGGTTAGACAGTCTTTTGGAGAGCCTTTGAGAGCACTGCTTCACAGAGATCAGGATGAATGTTTCCTGGAAAATAAAAATTATAAATATTAAAACTCTACTATTGTTGTGGATATATAGAACCTTCTGAATTCTTAACATAAATGCAGGTAACCTGCATTTCAAGATGTCAAGAAGACGATAATTTATCATAAGCTAGCTTGTTGAATTACCTAAAACATCAGAAGAACTTTCTAGTGTCTGTAACATCAGTATTACTTTAAGGTGACTATTCACTTTCTCTAAAAATGGAATTAAAATTTATAAAAAGCAAGATAACTTGTCTTCATACACAATAAAATAGAGCTAGAAAGGTGTAATAGAAGTAATAAAATGATTTCAGGAGAGTGAGAATGTTAGCAAAGGAAAAGAAAATATGTTTTCTTCAAGCAGTGTAAACAAATCTATGCCTGCTTTACTCAAAGGATCTTTTTCTTTTATGCCACAGGCTCATTACTTTATTTTTGACAAATACAATAAGCTTTTAAAGTTCTTACAATGCCATCTGCCATTGCAGCATATCTTTAGTCCTTTGTTGTTGTTGGTGGCGGTGGTTTTGTTTTGTTTTGTTTTGTTTTGATCATTAAATAACTGTACTTATACTTTTGAATGTGTTGATTTGGCACTTGGCTATCACCAGCCTGATGTAGTTGAACAAAATCCTGTATCATAGTGAGACTCCTTCCTTAAGTGATGGTAGAGCTTGAAAACACAGTCTGTGCTCATTAATGTTGGTCACTTTGTGCTGAACCTCAGTCACCAGCAGTAGGTCTAGCAGTCACAATTCACTCTGTAGTAGAGCCCAAATGATATTTTAAACCCTCAGATAGTCATGCATAATGCAGCACTTAAGTTTGCTTCCTTGAACTAGTAAGTGCATCTGAAACCAGTGGGCTACTTCCAGGAGTGTATGTAGGTTGAAAATCAAGACATTTATAACACGGCAAAAACAACAACAACAAAACACGATCTTGGGAGCTGAATAAAATCATTTTATAAGTAACAAAGAGATCAAAGAAAAAAATGTAAAACATATATAAAACTTACCATATATAGTGAATTTGGACAGAATGCAGAGTTGCAGAACAATGGAGAAAGAACAATTTATTTAGCATGTTCACAGATCTTAAAATTATCCCCAGTGCATTCTGAAGAGAGAAGGAAGAAATTATCACCATCAGCAATATGGATCATGCAGCAAAGGACTTGAGATGCTGCCATCTCACAGTTATGCCCCCCATCCTCAACACCTAGCTGAACCTGAGGACCTTCAGGAGTAGTGGAAGGTGTGCATAACACCAGAAAATGAGTTAGGCACCAGAAAGTTTGTGTATATGTTATTTTACCTCCATGTAATTTCAGTTGCAAACGTTAGTATGGGGCTACAGTTCTAATAATTCTTTGTTTAGACTTTTACAACTCTACGAAGACAAAAAATAAAAGGTATTTATTTGCTCACAGCAAGAATGTTATGGGTTGGTAGGAATTCAAACAACCTACTTTGTAGCTTGGATTTAACAAATTGGTAATTAGCCTCCCATAAGTAAAAACATGACATTTTGTACTCTCATTAATTAAGACCAAGTCTTCTTCCTGAAGCTGAATCCACCCTGAATGCAGTGGGCCCCTGGGTTGTGATTGTAACTATTAAGATGAACATAAATCTTTGTAGGAAGCATCTTTAGATATGGTAATTGTGCATTTCTTGAGGATCTTCAATTTCCTGCATGGTCTTTTCAAACTTTTTATTCAAATTCTTTGGTTGTGTTCATTGAACATCTTGATCTAATTTAATTCTAGCAGCTATTGGCTAATGACCAGGTGATTCTTACATACTTTGTTCCAGCTTTTGCTCAGTTTTGTACAAGCATAGGTACATCTGTAGGTTTGCGATCTCTCTACTAACAACTTTCTGACATGTAATTTATAGATATATCATATCTATACAGTAGTCACTGGGTGTAGCCTCAGTTTTGGCATGTATCACTAACATGTTAGCCTTCCTCCTAAGCTTTCATTTCCTTTGCACAGAATTTATGATTTTTGTTCATTCACCCCAGGTGTTCAGACTCAGTAGTGATACAATGGGCATGTTGTCATCACATTCTTCTACTGATTTGTCTTTGTCGTCCTTGTCAACTATGTACCTCTTTGCCATTAAGATGTTGTATTTCATTATGAAATGTATTGAGAAATAAAGCACTCCTGAATTAAAGAGCCCATTTGCCAAATGCAGTACTGAATGTACACAAATCTCTGCTCCATTTCACCAAAGTAACTATTAGAATTTTAATGATGCATCAAGAACAGAAAAATAATTGTTGTCATATGTATCTTCTAAATTTTCATCTGTTATAAGCAATCTTCTTTTATATGTACCCATTTAATTATTGGATGTGTGTGGCTGACTGCAGGTGCTGTGATGTGACTGGAGTACACCCACTCTCTTAGCTCTGTTGTGTGAGCCCTACTCATGTATGACCATATCCGTCATCTTTATTCTTCTTCCTGGAGTGAGAATAATTCCTCCAAAACTAAGATTCTAAGATGGTTTCATCTTAGTTTTCTAAGATCTTAGAAAACTAAGATGGGTAAGCTCTTAGCTTCACTTTATACTCTGCTCAGGCCTTTCCCTATTCTCAGATTCACTTCAATTCTCAGACTGTTCCTCAGTTTATTTCTCTATTTCTTCAGTGAACACTATCAGGACCTAGGATCTGAGCACTTTTAAACTCTGAAACGGGTACCACTGAGAAATTGTATCTATTCTGATTTATTTGTTTCTGTAGAGTTCACTTATTACTTCTACTAATATCAGCATTGCAGACATCATGGCTTTTGCATTTATGTGCAGATTAAAAATTAATTGGTTTGCATTTGTGAAACTGCATGCTCATTAATTTTCTTCTGTTGTATTGTCCATTGATCTTATGAATAATGCTTCTTTAACAATACTGTTGTGACTATCATCTTTGTCTGTACTCTGCACTATGCTTTTATTTGTAAATTCTTGTCAGATATGAAATCCACTGCAATTCTGTTATTGTTCTTCAAGTACCCATTGTTTCTTTTCATCACTGTATTTGGTACAATGTAAGTTCCATGTATTGTGTTTATGAAATTTATCTCTGCGATCTACACAATTCCTGCTTCAGGTCTTTCTTCTATTACTCTTGGATATTCTGGCATTTTGACTTTATCAGAACACTTTTTTTCATCAGTCTGGATTGCATAATTTTGTTTGCTATTTGAGTTCAAGTTGTTCTTTCAAATTCCTTCCAGAAGCTCTATTTAAGTATATCAGTCTGGGTTCCAATCCAGTCAGTTCTCTGTCAGGTTCAGGACACGTTCTTTTAAAAATTGTAAGGCTACTTTTTCATCAGGAGATAATTCATCATTTTTCTTGGCCTTTATGTTGATTACCATTCATACACTTCACTTTTGCAGAGGTCAGTACTCCTCTAATTTCTGCTATGGAGTTTTATAATTCATTCTCCCTGCTTGGGTCAACATGAACTTATAAAACACAGCAGGTGTTTCAAAGTATGTTAGTTTTTATGAGGGAGTGAGTTACAGAGCCAGGCCTCAGGCTAAGGGGAGGTGGACTACAGCATGTGACAGACACACTGTGAGACAATAGAAGAGGACAAAGGAAGTCTGAAGCATAGAGAGTGAGAGGAACTGGTTTTGGACATGGAATATAATGCTGTTAATTTGGAGAGACGAGGGGAGCTGCCACATAGATGAAGATCAGGAGTAGGTGGTAATTGGTCACTGGAGGGTGCTGTGCTGAACTAAAGTGGATTTAAGTATCACCACCCCATAGTAAACAAGAAACAAGATTGGTACAGTCTAAGGCATCACGTTGGGAAGTCCTGTGTTTGTTTGCTGCTGCAGGAGCAGGACAAGACAAGCTAAGTTTTCTGACCAGACTGAAGGAGTTGAGCCATCTTCTTCTGTCAGGAGGGTGAAAGGAGCAGAAGGGGATGCTTGCCCTGTCCAGCAAGGGAGTACCCAAATGGGTCAGTTGAATATCCTGTTACCACCATGTTGATGTCCCTTCCAGACCTGACAGTTTCAGCAGCTGATTGCTGCTTTGTAACACCCTGGTCTGGAAATCATTTTGTTTCTCTGGTGTCATGTTTTCTCCTAGCTAAGAAGCTGTGCTGACAGACCCTGCATGCAAATTCATTTTGAGCTTGTTTACATCTGGAGACCTTAATGCCTGTAAAAAAAACACATAGCTGCACCCATTATTGTAAACATATTGTAGATTTTCCCTTTTGTGCAGCTTCACATATCTCTTTTACTGCTATCATTTGTGTCCTCGTGATGAAGATCACATGCAGGCTGAAGCTGAAGCTTAGAATGAATAGCTCTGAATATAGCACTTGAATCCTTCTGTGAAAATGTAAGTTAATTTAGAACTGGGTTCCTTTCTATAGAAAATAGCTTTGCAAAGTGAGCAGGATTCTGGTGTTCAACCTGTGCCTTTACACCCAGTCACTTGTGAACAGTCACTTTACAGTATCATTTTACATCCCACGAAGTCATGGCAACCACAGGCTCTCCAGGCATCCCACCTGATAGGATTGCAAACTCCAAACTGGAGATATGCTTTGAGGTTCTGGGAGGTATTTTGTTCAGTTCAGGGTCTGCAGATGCCTGTGTGCATATTCAAGTAGATATATAAATACCTGTTTACATCGTGCAGTGTGAAATATTCAGAATGGACAGATTCTGTAATTGGGAAGGGAAATCTTATCTCCTGTGTCTTCAAGAGAGTTTGAACAAAGACAAAGATTTCCGACCCTCCTCTGCAATTACTGGTGGAAAATTCACCATTTTTCATCTAATATTTTGAAACCAGCATATGCAAGTTTTCATAGTTTGTAAATGACTGGGCAGACTTAGTAAAAAAGTATTCTTTGTCTGTCTTGGCTGGGCTTTATGATAATCTCATTCACTTTTGCATCGCGTAGCAGAGAACTTTTCTGTTTATCTAGGAGTTCTCCTAATCTTAGTTCTTACCAGTATCACCTTGGGTGTTCATTCATTAGTATGAGGTGCAGTTTAGAGAACAAACTGATCATCCCCACTTACTGGTGGGGATAGTTACACGGTGTAAATATCACCAGTTCACAGTGTATGAACTGGATTCCTCTTCTGTATGTGTAAACCAAAGGTGGGCTCCAGGTGGGCTCTGACTTCTGGTGAAAACTCTGTTCATGCAGCCAGCCTACAGCTAGCAGGAAGCAAAATCCTCTAAGGTGCTAGATAATAAGTAGTGCTGTAAAGCTAGATATAAGCAGTGTGGACTGACCGTTTTGCTGTGTGGTTGGATTGTGATACTTGCTAATTGAAGGAATCATCCAACTTCATGTGCTCCTGTGATAGGAGAGCCTGTTTAGCTGTGGTACATTTAGAAATCTGTATTACCTGCCAGTAGATAAAACTTTCCATATCAGACAAGTGTCTACTCAGCAGTGTGAGTTATGTCTGTTGTTTTGGTTGTTAGATGCCTTTTACTTGATGAATGATTCAATGTAAGGCAATGCTTAGTCCTAAAATACTGAGTCATATTCCCTGGTTTGGGGAAGCAAAGCTTGGAACAGTGCTCATGGTCTATGAGTTCTTACTCTTCAGTATTTTTCCTGAAGTGATTTAATAGCTTCTCTCCTCTTAATGACACACACAGAGATGCAATAAAAGAAGCATTTTCTGACTTATCACCCTTGTAGGAAGAAGTAACATGTGAAAATTCCATCTTTAACTCCAAGCATGCCATGAAAAAAACATCATTAGATATCTTCAGAAAGAAGTGCTGAGGATCTTGCTGCCCCAGCCTGCTGTTGCTAACACGTATAGAAATGATTGCTGAACAGTAATAGAAAACATGTGTAGAACCTAGGAAAAAGGTTAAAAAAGGTTATAAAATGATGTGTTTTAAAAATTTCTGAGGTTATTGAGATAAGAAAAATGTCATTACCATTATTATTACCATATAAGCATATACATAAATTGCTGTGAGACAGGTCTATGTTATAAAATCATGTTAATGATGTCTTAACTGCAAAAATCCTTATCAAAATAATGAGGCAAATATTATTTTTGTCTTTTTCTACATGTAAAAAAAAAATAAAATATATATATATTTCTTATGAAATTTGTTGGTAGCATACTCCTAGAAGAAAATTTGGGGGATTTTCCGGTGTTGCTTCTATGAGACCTAAAAAAGTTATATGAAAGAACCTTTGAGCATTTACCAGGATATTTATAAACATAAAAACTTTAAAATTTAATTCTGTTGAAAGACTTCATGTCAAATTATGACAGAAGTTGCAATCAAATATGCAAAAGGCATTGTAACGTCTCATGATAGACAGTTATATTATGCTCTGGTTCTTGTGGACATTCAATGAGATTTCAGTGGTAAAGCTGTAATGTCAAAGATATTTGAACTGTAGTAAGAAAAAAAAATCTTATATTATCTGTACTGTTTATCACTTTTAAACTTAAAACTGTTATTTGTATTTTCAACATTTAAAATAAAATTATGGATTACATTTACTGAGTTATGATTTTATCCTAAGTTATCATGCAAAACATACACTTATGGGGCCAGATCTAGGGTTCTGTAGCTAAAGGATATAACTGTTTTGTATTCAGTGAAAACTCATAAAGTCCTTTGGGCTTTGTCTTCTACTGTAGACAAAACAACTATGCTACAGTAGAGTATTGTTTGAAGCATAGCACTGTGCAAGTATTTTTCATGTGAAGCAATGGTATAAATTAGGTAACACCCACATTAAATTAATGCATAATTAAGTAAGTAACAACTGTCATATATTGTTACAGTTTTTATATGTTAGAAATATTAATGCTGAAATAGAATTATTTTAGTATATACTAAGAAGCTATAACTTCTTGACCATTTTTAAGCAAATTAGTATACTTGCTTTCTGTGATTATGTTTTCTATCTATAAAATTAGAATATGCATACGTACTTTACTCAAATTTACGTTTCTAAAAATATTTTTGAAGACTGAGCTTTGAACTGATCGCATCTTCCTCATTTCTTATTGCTGTCATGTATAATGTGTTTTGTTGTCAGAGAAAATAGCATTGACATGATCACTATTTTATATCTTTGCTTTTTATGTATGGGTAACTACTATGAATGCACATTACAGTTTACAATCACAGTCTCAAACTCTTATGCAAAAAAGTGGGTTGAAGATTCAGATCATTGCTCTGACATAAAATAGGATTATTAGGCTCATTTTATACTTGGAAAACTGGGACCAAAAGGCTGTCAAGATAAACTTAGGTGAGGTAAATCTTAGCCAGTGTACACAAGATTGCATAGGTACTGTGTGTCAGAAATGGGACTGAAACTCAAACCTCATGTCTCAGGTGGAAAAACTAGAGCATTGTGTTTCCTTTAGCAATACTGAAATGCACAATCTACAGATATTCTTTAAATAAATGGAATACTTTCATGAGCTACAGAATTTGTTAAAATGCTCCAGAATTGTTAACTGGATCTTTATTTCATATTTTGTGAACAGCCCAGATTCAAACAGATTAATTCAGCTTTTGCCTTATGGAAGTAATATTTCAGTACTCAGTGCTGGAGTATTTCACATTGTTTCACTGTGCTGATTAAAATCCATTGTAGATGATAATTATGCTGGTTTTATCATTCAAACACTCAAAAAAGATTTTAAATCTTTTAGTGGCTTGTAGACTTTTATCTCTCAAAGGGTTTAAAGTCTACTTATATTATGTCCTTTTGTCATGTTCTCTGTAGATGCTAAATCAGTAGATTCCCAGTTTTAAAAAACAACTACACTCTTTTTCATAGGAGGAAGAACTGAGGAAAAGTGGAGAAGCCAAATATGCACACTTGAGTGACGAGCTTCATGTATTAATTGAAGTGTTTGCTCCACCTGGGGAAGCATATTCCCGTATGAGTCATGCCTTGGAAGAAATAAAAAAATTCCTCGTTCCAGTAAGTGGCTTATAGCATTCTTCTGTGACTGTCTATGGCTTTGCTGCATTGAATTTGTGTCTTCTTTAAGTTCCTTCAGCTCAAGGAAAAAAAAATTAAAAAAAATCTGTTGAAGATTCATCTTAGGAAGATGCCAAACAGGCCATTAATTGTCATAGTTGATCCCCTGGTATGTGTTTTATTTTTGTATATATATAGGTAATGATTTATCTAAAGAAGTCAATGAATTTTGTCTGGAGAAAATAGCATGAGCAAAACATTCCTCAGACTTTATACTGATGTTTCTGCTCAGACAGCTAGACTTAACTCAGACCACAATTTAGCAACGCTTCATCAGCTAGGAAACACAGAAACATCTTCTACAGCTGGGAACCTTTTTAGTTCTAGACTCAATACATCAACTTTTAAAGTATTTACCTGTTGATTTTTGTTCAAACTCTCTGAAAATGATTTTCTCCAGTTTTCTACAGCATTCCTTGATATTATCGTACTTACAATTTGTCCTAGAATTTAAGTAATGTTGTTTTATATAGTAGAGTTACAGAAGTTATTGTCTGCAGTCTATCCTGAGACTATTAAGCACTATAAATATGTTCAGAACTTGCATTCCTTCAAAAATACATTGGTAGCTTATTTCTATTTGAAGTAAACCAACAAAGTTAATAAATGTTCATATGTTTTCATAATAACAAAGGGATTTTTATCATGTCATCACATACCAAGATCAGAGGTCTTCATATTAGGCACACATCTGTTTGCATGACAGAAATTAGACATTTTATTCAGTGAGGAGTTCTTAGCAGGAAGAGGAAAGAAAATTAGTTAGAGGCACATTATTTAAATACAGCATTTTAAACATTAATTTTTAGAGCAATGAAACATTTTTAAAGAATACAAAATAAGTAACATAAAACTTACCAAGTGAGTCACAATAAGAAAGCCACTTTTAAAATAGTCTCTTTCAGACTTTCCCATTCCATCTCCTTATACTTCCAATTAAAAACCACTGATATTAAAATATTATTTTCAATATTCTTACACAGGGAAATAACCATGAGACAAGAAAGCACTTTATTCATGATTTCTGACTTTACAATTTCTGAACATGCAATACAAAATTAGGTCATTGTCATAATGCTGGCAACACAACATGGAATGATGTTTTGGCAGCAAGTTAATGGTGAGGATCTGCCAAGACATGCCACTGAAATAAAATTTATAGCTAAATTCCAGATGCCTGAAAAATACACATAACATAGCTAAAAATGGTAGCATTGCTGATAACAAAGATTGCCAGCATTTGTCCTTTGGATAAACCTATTTCCAGTTGTTCACAATTTTGCCAGACTTTAAATTGTTTTTATAAAAGCTTCCTTTCTAAAGATAGTTTTGTATGTCCTCTTTGTTCTGAAAAGGAGCTACTGCATATAGCATTACACAGTAACGATGGTCTCCATTCCTATGCCACCTTGATTTTTAACATTTGTTGAAGATTGTCATCTATTGCAGAGCCTGAGAAAATCTATTCTGGGTCAATAAGGGATAGAGAGTAGTGAGAGCTTTAAAGTTTGTGGTGTATTGCTGTTTACAATACTCAGAATCTGCCTAAGCATGTATTTTGTGTGACACATTATTGATAAATGTTATATGTATTTTCCATCACAAACATAACAGCTGCACTGGAAGAAATGCAAAAACGGGTTCTTTGTTATAAGAGTTTGAACTCGGTTGGCAGTGGCAATAATCACTCTAAACAAGTAACAATCATACTTTATGACTTGTTTGTTTGTTTTATCCCCTCTGCTTCATTTCAGATTTACAGCAATTTACAAAGCAATTATTAACTGGCTGGTTACAACATGTGTCAAGGGGTTTACACTCAAAAAGCTTGCATGAGATAATTTCCTTTTTGTTCCGTATTTACAGCATCTCTTGAATTTGTTTTATGATGTTTTGTTGTTTATAAGACCTAATTTATTGCAGCAGTGAATATCAGAATTTCATTATAGGGATGAAAGCAGTAGAACCTAACAGTTTTATTTATACCAAATCAAGAATGTAATAAACTATTCAAATGAGTTTTCACATTGCATATGAATATTGTTAAATTTAAGTGAAATATTATCGTCAGAAATTACATTGATTGTGTCAGTAAGATGTAAGGACATTTCCATACTTACATCTTAATGAGACTTAATTTTTAAACAAATACCTAGAAAACACAACAAAAAAAATTAAAAAAAAAAAAGGGGGGTGAGGGATAAAAATGAAGAAATTAAAAAAAAAAAAATTAACAGTTTATTAACTGAAGCAAAGTTATGAGGAACTAGTACTTCCAATTTAAATTGGATTATTTAAGTTTCCATCTTGTCCAAGAACAGCATTGAAATTTTTACTTGTCAAGGTTTCACCTCAAAGTTGGAGGCAGAAAACAATTACCACAGTTTATACTGGCTCTTCTAAATGTGAATACATTTCAAAGTCACAAGTGACTCAGCCTCAGGTGGTGTTTTAGGATCCCTCCAACTGGCATTTAAATGAATGATTGAACCCAGGATGTTTGCAGCCTTCAGTAGTTCAGTAACTGACAAGCTTTTAAAACCAAGCTGCTACATTTACTGTCTGCTGCTTCTGTTTTGCAAATGGTGTAAGGTCTGCATGGAAGCCACACTCAGGACTTTTCTACCTGGTGAATAAGATTTATTTTGCAACTGACTTTGCAGGATTATTTATTTTTTTATTATTTTTTAAGAAGAACTTTGGCTTTTGGAGGTGTGGGGAAATCTTATTTACAATTATTAGCTAGAGATAATGCTCTGTTATATTTTGATGTTTAGTCTTAATATGAAATGTTGCTTATAATAGAAGTATGATAGGTCAAAAGAGTAAATGAAATTTACTCTTTTTTTGAGTTTTGAAATACAACTGCCTAATTGTCGTGGTTTAACCCGGCCGGCAGCTAAACACCACGCAGCCGTTCGCTCACCCTCCCCCCTCCCTCTCTGGGACGGGGGAGAGAAATGGAAAGTGAAGCCTGTGAGTTGAGATAAAGACAGTTTAATAAGACAGGAAAATAATAATAACAAAATAATAATAAAATAATAACAATAATAATACAATGGTGATAATAGGAAAGTAATAATAGTATGTACAAAAAAGTGATGCACAATGCAATTGCTCACCACTCGCTGACCGATGCCCAGCCTAACCCCGAGCAGTCCGGCCCCCTCCCCCCGGCTAGCCACCCCTATATATTGTTTAGCATGACGTCAGATGGTATGGAATACCCCTTTGGCTAGTTTGGGTCACCTGTCCTGGGTCTGTCCCCTCCCAGCTCTTACTGCACCCCCAGCCTGCCCGTTGGCAGGACAGAGCAAAAGGCTGAGATGTCCTTGGCTTAGTATAAGCACTGCTCTGCAACAATTAAAGCATCGGGGTGTTATCAGCACTCTTCTCATCCTAAGCCAAAACACAGCATTCCACCAGCTACTAGGAAGAAAATTAATTCTGTGCTAACTGAAACCAGGACACTAATGTAATTTTTTTTTTTTTTTTGGGGGGGGGTGCAACCTAGTAAAAATTAAGACTAAAATGTGCTCCATAAAGTCTAGGTTTTAGTATCGCATTTGTACTGATTTTAACATAATGTAAGGTAGCCAGCATTAACAATGTGGAAAGTATAAACAGTAGAGACTAAAGGCTCTTTTTTGTTGTTGTCTGTTTGTTTTCCATAAAACTTAAATTTCTCACATAGTTCATAGAATCATAGAATATCCTGAGTTTGAAGGGACCCTTAAGGATCATCAAGTCCAACTCTTGACACCGCACAGGTCTACCCAAAGTTGCATGGCTCCAGGATCTATGGCTTAAAAAGCAGAACTGTAAGCCTTTAAATGTTGACAACTTGATCATTTTGAGCTTCTTTGTTTTCACAGAGAAATAAATATTCCCAGAGTCCTCTACCTGTGAACAGTCTTAACCAGATAGCTTTAGGGACTAGAAGGGATGAGGGTGCAGGAAAAGTGGAAAGGATTGCTCTGGGACAGCTGGGGTTAGGAGCTGGGTTTAAGTGCTTTCAGAGATAGTGCGAACCTGAGAGCTGAGGTCCAGGATTCAAGAATAAAGAGTTGGGATTACCAGATGGCCATCCTTTCTGGACACCCAATTAGCTCCCCAGTCATTGAGAGTAGAGAGGAGTGCTCTAGCTGGCCTTGTTTGAGCTGATTTTATCTTGATTTTTCCTCAAATACTAGATTTTGGGTATTCTTACAAGTATTATAACTTTTGTCATTATGCTCCATGCACAACCTGTTTTAGTTGGTTTGACTTGTGCAAGGGGGTTGGAACAGATGACCTCCAGAGGTCCTATCCAACCTCAACCAGTCTGTGATTTTGTGAACTTACGCCACAGACAGATGTATTTTGCAGATTCACCTCTATGGCCTGCACAGATTTCATAAAATCATTTGGTGTCTGACAATCCTCTACTTGTGACCCCAGACTGGATGGCATCTAGGTCTAGGAGATGAACCTAAGGCTGATGATTTGTCTCCGTGCTTCAGAACAGGATCCAGGGTCAGTGAACTAAAAGGGGAAATATTTAAAATGCCCAATTAAGGAGATGGAACAGCTTAGAAGCTTTTCTTGCTCTGCTGATTTTGAAAGGTTCATATCTAGTAAATGTTATTTTAAAATTTCTTCACCGTTAATGAGAAATGAAATGCTAGATAATTCTCATCTGATATGACTACATCATTCTACTTTTACACCCAAATATGGAACAAATATATTTTCTGAACAAGTTAACATTTGCGTATAGTAAAGGACTATGTACCATCTTTAGGGCTTGTGTGCTTCCTAATGTGCTTTTGTTTTGTTTTTCCTGATAATCACTTTTATCCCTGTAAGCAGTGCATTTTTGTTTGACACAGTTAGCATCCCTTGAGACTAGGAGGGAAGCAGATACTGATCACTCATTTTATGTGTGAGTACTCTGTAATAGTGAGCTATTATGTAAAGGGTAGGGTGCAGCTGGTGTGACCACTTTAAAAACATTGTTTACAACTGTGTGGTCAGCTGATCAGGAATTGAACCAATTATCACTTTCAGAGCTACTGTTCAATTTATTTCTCTTCATGCATTTTCCTAGTCTATTATATCAGCTTTAAATTGACACACCCTGGCAACGCTCAAGGGCTAGGAATAAATCCATGGTCACTTAATGCATTTCAGTTGATGGATGATCTCTTGTGATCATCTGGCTGTACACTTTTTTTTTTTTTTTTTTTTTTTGGTATGTTGATCAGATCAGACTCATCAGAAGATTTAGGGAGAGCTGCAGTCTGCTCCCAGGGTGCTGGGAGCCCATCAGCTCTTCAGTCTTCCTAACTAAATATGGAAAGTTATTGAGGAAAAGCAGCCTTTCAGTAAAACAATAAAATACTAATTTCCTACTAACGTTATTTATAATAAAACTTGATGTAGAGGAAAAAAAAAAAAGAGGGATTTGAAGGCAATTGAAAACAGACATTGATACTAGTTTCTTTCAGTGGAAAGAATTAAATAATTTGGAAGTAGTTTAATTCTCTGAAGGCCTTTCTCTAGCTAATGTCTCAAAAGAACTTGTTTAACTTCCAACATACATTTCCTCTGTGTATACACAGGAACTCATATGCACTACAAACCGAAGTTGCTAATGATCTGTTATGCTGTGTTGTGCTGGCTATATTGCCATATATACAGCACACAGTAACAATGCGATGTTTTGACTGTTTCCTAACAAGTATACAGAAGTATATGACATTTATTTTGCTCATTTTTATTAGTCATCTGAGTTCCTTCTGTGCTACAGTACAGTATAAAATCTCTATTTAAATACTATTTCACACTCTGTGGTTTTGTAATCTTACTTTTGTTTCTAAATAAGCTATATTATCACTTTTATTTTCAGTCTTCTTGTCCTATTTCAGAGGTATCTCAACAGGCTAAATATTTCTGTAACTATGGCAGTGAGCAGCAGCACAGCTTCATTCCTAAGAATAGACATCTTTTATATTCTTCAAAGTAAATAATTTATACTTGCACATTCTGCAAATGTACTTGCATATTAAGTACAGTAATTATTTAAAAACTGCGATAAGGAAATTATTTGAGCAGCTGTCTAGCTTTGCTATGAGTTCTGTTTTCCTACAGTGCAACATCTCTGGTAATTTTATATACAAGTTTTTTTTTAATTGAGGAAAAATTTTTTAGAGATTCTGTTGAGGCCTAAAATCTCATATAGCACTCTACCTATTCACATCTTTTTTAACTGAAAATTGTCTATTTACAATCAGATTACTATAAGTATGTTTAAATATGTGTACTCAAGAGAGGAGTAATAACTTATGGACAATGGCTGTTGACTTTGTACAAATGATGGAGTTTTTCTGAACATGATACTGGCTGGTCTGGCAGCATGCTGGGCAGCACTGAAGCTGCATAATTTAGATAACCCATTTTAATTTTGACTAAAATAAACTTAAAGCTATCCCTCAGAGTGAAGTTTGGAGGGGAGAGATGTACACTAAGTTTACACAAATGGCCTTTTTTAATTGAAAATTAAGCTACAGTGTCTTTTAAGCTACAGTGTCTTTCAACTGACTTTTTATGTGCTTGCTGATGCACAATATAGACTGCTGATATTACTTCTCCTGTGAAGCTATAAAATGGAGAGCAAAACAAAAAGCATGCAATTCCTCACGCATCTGAAAGAACAAATGTAATGTGCTCTCCGCACAAATGTTTTTAAACGTGTGGTGATGAGTCAGTTGCCTGTTGGCCTATCAGACCTACAGACATCTTTTAACTAGGTTTAGTTCCACAGCTGCTTCAGGTGGCTCAGAATTCACCGCTTCAGGTCTGCTTCAAGGGTTGATACTCCTAAATGGATTAAGGTCTTTTTAGATATTCCAGAGACATAGTTAGTCTGTGAAAGCAATCCCTTGGTGGTCTTGCTCTGTCACACAATGGAATCAATATAAAAGCATGTTCTTACTGCTGGAGCCAGCCCATTGCTTTGCCTTTCAGATTAATTAGAAATGTTAACCTGACTGGGTGTTTTACACCACTCATTGATCTGAGTGTATTACTGAGACATGGCTGTAGTTTAGACATATCTATGACTCACTTGGTGAGTGTGTACTCATAAGCAGTTTCATGGTCTTGTCTCACTGTTGTTAGGGTGCAGATTTTTCACCAGTGACAGATCAGAAGCAATGGTGTGGATGTAGGTGATAAAACTCATGCAGAGAGATTTGAATCCTGTAGCACTAGTCCCAGTTTCTCAACAGCAGTAATAGCTAGGTTTGTAACATTCAGCAAGAACTTGGCTATGGTATTACACATTAAACTGTATAAACCTCTTCACCTCAGAGGAACCCACATACCCTTCAATGAATCTGTCATTTCATTTTAGAAATGGTACAAATTTTGCCAATCTCATCAATGGCAATAAAGATATTGGACTAAATAAAGTCCAATGGATATTGGACTCGGTGAAGAGGCTGCATTTTCATGGCCTTAAAATAAAAGTAGACATGAAAAATGTATGTAAATACTTGTTTTCTTCATGCAATAATTACTTTGTAATGACAACAAAAATGACATGCAAAATGCCATTGTGTGCTGCATCATGTATATTTGTGGGGTTTTTTTAGCCACCAATATGAGTAAAAAAAAGGAAAATATTGGAGTTATAGACATGAGACTAGAAGCAAGAAGATACGAGGTGTTTATTTTGGCTTCTTCAAAAATTGGGAGGATTGTTTATTTTGTTTTGCTTGTGTATTTTTTAAAGTGGGAAGTGGAGGGGGAAGGTTTTGGTGACATTTTAAAGATTGTATCTTTTTTTAAAATATATAACAAAGGTCAGTATAGCCAATTCTGATGATGCCTAGTTATGGTTGCTCAGGAAAGCATAAAAGAAAAAGCACAAATGCAGAGTAATCTTTTCTCTACTGTGTTCTTTCAGCTTCCAGCAGTCAAAAATTGAATCTTTTCAAGGTTACATCTACGCCATCCTGCCTTTATACCCTTGGTAGATTTGTTTCCTACTCTCTGAGCTTGTCAATTGCTGTTGTTTGTTTGTGTTATGTCATTGTTGTTTGTGGTGTTTTTGGTTTTTTTGTTTTTTTTTAACCTTAGTTAAGTTTTTTGGCAATGAGTTTGACTGTTTAATTACAC